CTGTTCCCATGGCGCTCTCTGCCTCCATTGAAAAGAATGAAGGATTTGTCTTTACAAACAAACTGTAGGTCTTCTGATGAACAGAAATGGATACTAAGAGATAAAAGAAACAATGGGCATCTTTAACATACATTCCATAGGAATTTCATTGATTGACATAAGGAAAAGAAAAAGGAGGGGTATACATTGGAAGGGGGTCTTTATTAGGTGATTCAGGAAGACTGTGCTTCTCAAGCACCCTAGACAATGGGGAAAGAGAGAGGGAAATGCAGCAGGGTAATCAGGATAAAAAGAAGGCTTCGTCCTCCAAAAATTTGGTAGGCCCCAGGGGAAATGCCCATGACCTCTCTCTATATCTGAATAAAGTTACAGGACTCTGTCTCCTTTTTGGAAATAAACCTCTGGTGTTTGTGGGTTAATTTTCCTGACACTGTGACCCTGGGGAAAGGACAAACCAAGTCCAGATGTTTTTTATCCAAAATTAATGATCCAAGTCCCAGCAGGAAATTCTGGCCCAAATGACTGAAAAAGCTGAAGAAAACCAGCTGGAGCCAGGAGAGATGATGGCAAACAGGGAATTAAAGGGCTTTTGCCTTAAAATGAAGACATAAAAACAGGGAAACCCTGAACCCCACAGAGATCCTCAAAACTGTCCAGAGACAGAGACCCCACCCCCAAAGCCATCCAGGGACCCCCAAAACTACATGGGGATCCCCCAAAACTACCCAGGGATCCCCTCAGCCCTCTAAACCTCCCAAACCACAAGGTCTCTCCAGGAAGATGGGGGTCCCTGGAAGGGTTTTGGGGGTCCTGATAAATGACACGGAGAAGAGAAATTTTCAGTTGCCCTGAAGGTGCTGGATGGAGCTTAAAGACAACTGTCAGAAAATCTGAAAGGATTTAAAGGCATGCACAGAGGATCACAAGCACAGCTGGAGCCGGTGGACAAATAGGTAATGAGGAATATAGTGGGGTTTTTGTCAAGTTATGTAACAAGAAGTAACAGTGCACACTCAAGGAAAACCTTCAAGGAAAGGTCACGTGTAATATGGAAGCATTCCGTGAATATGACCACCAGAGACCTGTTAGTGGTCCCTACAGGACCATACCCTGTGGCAGTTTCGTCACACACATCAGATTAAAGGAGAAATCCTTCAGTGTGTCACTGGTGGGGCTAGACGCACTCTTGTGGGCTAAGGTGGTCATTTGTGGGCCAGGGGCGGTCACTTGTGGGGCAGGGGGGCAGTTGTGGGTCAGGGTCACTTGAGGGGCTGAAGGGGCACTTGTGGGCTGGGGAGACACTTCTGGCTCAGGAAGTCCCTTGTGGGGCTGGGGAAGCACTTGTGGGACTGCCACCCCTCGTGACATGCAGCCCCCCCAGGCCCTCTCAGGGACCTCCTCCTCTGGATGCTGCGATGCCACCGCCAGGCCATAAGGGGAAGCCTTTGGCAAGACATCCCCACCCCCAAATTTCAGGGGTATGCCCCTGCGCCTTCCCCAGGTCCCCCTAATTCCCCATTTGCTCTCCCTTCCCTTCCCCAGGGCCATCAAGATCCTCTTGGAATGCCCACCTGGGCAACCCCAACGCATGGTGGGGCCAATAAAGCAATGGCACCCCAAAATTGCACCCGGGAGGTGGGGAGACCCTCAAAACTCCCTCCCTTACCGCCCTCACCTTTGGGATTGTCCCCAATCCCCTCTCCCCCCAAATGTCCCCAGGAGCTTTAGGGGGCTTCTGGGGGCTCAAAAGCAGCTGTTGGTGGGGCGCTGGGTGTCTCTAGGGGGTCCGGGAGGGTCTTTGGAGTGTCTGGAGGGGCTCTGATGAGGCTGAGGAAGGGATTTGGGGGGTTGTATGGGGAGTGCTGGAAATCAGGAGTAGTTGGGAGGGCACTGGGTGTCTATAGGGCATCTAGAAGAGGTCTGTGGGATTTTTGGGGGAGACTCTAGGAGTGCTGAGGAAAATCTGTGAAAGATATTGGGGGTCCAGGTAGGGGTTTTGGGGGACCCTTGGGCTTTGGAGTGTCGTTAACAGTCCAGAGGTCTGTGGGATGTTTTGGGGGGCCCAGGACAGCGTTGGAGGGTCTGTGGGGACTAGGAAGTCTATAGGGGCGCCTGGGGGTTTATTGGGAGCATCAGGGCGGGGAACCCCCAAACCCTTAGGAGTGGGGCTCACCTGTCTTCTTCACCTTCACATGGCTGATGTGGCGCCGGGGGCTTCTGTTGTCCTTCCGCCCCTGGGGGCGCTGTGGGGGGTCAAGGGGGCATCCGAAGCTCACCCTGAGCCCCCAAAAATCCCTCGTGCCCCCCACCCCCCATTGGCCGCTGGTTTGGCGCCAGTTTACTCACTTCCTGGACTACAACTCCCGAAAGACCGCGGGGCCCTGTAGGCCGCCGATAGAGCCGGGACTGCGGTTCCCGTCATGCCCCACGGCCCCTGAAGAGTCCCGCCAGAGCCAGGACTGTCCCCTAAGTACCGTCCCGGCTGCTCCCCAAGTGCTTCCCTGAACCGTAAGTGCGCTCCTGGGCCCCGTAAGTACCCCCAGTTTCTCTCTCCTGACCCTCAAGTACTCCTCATGGTCCCAATGGCCGCCCGCCCCCCGTCCCCTACTTGCCCCCAAAATGCCCCCTGTGTGTCCTCTCGGACCCCCAAGTGCTCTCCAACTGCCTCCCCTAAGCGCCCCTCCAGACCCTTTAATGATCCCGCAAGCACCCCCCAGCTGGCCTCCAAGTGCCCCTCGAGTGTCTCCTGGGAACTGGAGTGATGACAACAATGTAGAGAAAGACCCTGACTCTATCGCAGTATCAGCAACCATTCAGCCTTTAATTAAAATTTGAATCAAAACTGCAATGGCCGATGTAGGGGATGGACAAGCCTCCCCACTTTTTCATGCTACTCCCGTGGTCCCTCTTGGGGCCAGGGAAGTTGCAGGAAAAACATTCCTGTGTGTTGTGCGCATCAAGATTTCATAGAAATCAGGAACAGAGTCTGTGTGGTGAACTTCCCTGACAGGTGGAGATAAATCCCTCCATCCCCTACAGACTCTCCAGCAGATCCCAAATACCCTCAGGATCCCCTCAAAATGCTCCATAGCTCTCCCCCGTGAACACCCTATAAACCCTCAGAACCCTCCCAAATCTCCCTCTACAACCTCATGTGGCTCTCTAAAATAACCCATAGATCTCGGCACTCCCCCACACCCCCCAAAAGGGGCTACCCCAGGTGGCCACAACTAGTCATGGACTGCCTGAGTCACTTTTTGGGCTGATACGTGTGTAGGTATAAATCTTATAGAGAGATAAAATATAGAAAGGGGCCTCCAGGAGAGCTAGGGAGGGCCTTTGTCAGGGGACAGGATGGAGGGTGAGGGTTTTCACCTGCCAGAGGACAGGGCTAGATGGGATTTTGGGAAGAAAATTCCTCCTTGTGAGGGTGGTGAGAACCTGGCACCGGTTGTCCAGAGAAGCTGCAGCTGCTCCATCCCTGGAAGTGTCCAAGGCCAGGTTGGACAGGGCTTGGAGCAACCTGGGATAGTGGGAGATGTCCCTGCCCATGGCAGGGGGTGGATCAAGATGACCTTTGAAGTCCCTTCCAACCCAAACCAGCCTGGGATTCTAAAAGTGGGGGAGGTTTGGGGTAGGCGACCTTGGCTGACCCCAGGTGCCCCCCCAGGCTGTTCCATCACTCACGCTTCAGGAAGAGACAGCAAGAGAAAACCTGATGAAAAAGCTCCTGGGGGAGATGGGTTGGGGCATGTGAGTCTCTCAAGAACTGCTCCAGCCCTTTCCAGTCCCTCAGGTGGAGGCACTTGGGACATGATTCCTACCCAATAGGTGCCCCAATGAGGGAGAAGACTGGTTCAGCCTTCTTGATCCAGCCTGTCCTGATCCCTCTGCAGAGCCTTTCTGCTCTCCAGCAGATCCACACTCCCACACAAGTTGGTGTCATTTGTGAACTTAGTTTGACTTCCACTTGATCCCCTCATCCAGATCACCAGTAAAGATGTTGAACAGGACTGGACCCAGCACTGACTCCTGGGGTCACCTACAAGTAATTGGGTGTTATGGATAGAGTGGGAGCTTCAGACAAGCCCTGTCTTAGGCTAAGATTTTGGGTACAGCTTGAATTAGGTGGCCTGCACCTAAACCACTCTGGCTCGCAAGTTGTAAGAGTGACAGATCAGGTCTATTATGAAATTAGTTATTTATTGAATAGACAGGAGATACTAGACAAAAGGTCTTGAACAGAGTTACTTACTACACAGTATAAAACAAAAGAACTACTAGAAGATTACATAAAACAGTGCCCAACATTAAGGTACCTACAATCAAAGCTAGAAAAGAAATAGTATAGATTAGGAGTCAATGTAACTTACCACCAAACTGGCAAGAGTGTGCACAGAGTCCTTTCACTCAACCTTTGAGAGAGGAACTACAAAACCAGCATCCCAAATAACCATGAGACAAGCAGTCTTTAGTGATTTATTTCACCAATTAGCAAGCTCTTGTGGCAGGGAACATGTCCTGCTACACTGGTACCCCAGCTGGGTACCATTGCCCACCACTCTCTGGGCTTGGGCATCAGCCAGTTTTTCATCCAGCAAACAGTTCCCCTGTCCAATCCATGAGCAGCCAGTTTCTCCAGAGTCAAAGGCTTTACTGAAATCTATAAATATACATCCACCGCCCTTCCCTCATCTACTGAGTGGGTCATTCTCTCATCGCCTGCAGACCCTTGGCATGGGCGGGAACAACCTGCGGCACTCGGCAGCCATGGCATTCCAGGGCCTCCCGCAGCTTTGCCAGCTTTTCCTGGCCCACAGCCGGCTGCTGGAGGTGAGCCTGGCCGCATTCCAGCCAGTGCAGGTGACCCTGGGCGTACTGGAGCTGCTGCCAATGTGCTGCGCTGCCTGAGCCCACACCTGCAGCAGCTGCCGCCTTTCCGCTCCCTGCACAACCTCTGTGAGCTGAAGCTGCAGGCGCAGCAGCCATATGGGATGCGTGTGGTCCCACAACGCTTCTTCCAGGGCCTCAGTGCCTTGTGCTCGCTCTGCCTGTCACAGAACTTGCTGTCGGCCATCCCTGCCAATGCCTTCGATGACCTGGCACAGCTGCAGTGTTGCAGCTTGAATAGCTGCTAGTAAAGTCCAGGATAAAGAAGGAAAAAGGGCCTTTGCATGGTATCCACAAATGTTTAATTCAGCCACGTGGTAACATGTTTGGGTCCCAGGTACACACACATGGAGGGTCCAGGTTTCTCTCTCCCTGGGGCCCAGGGTCATCCTGGTCTTGGGGCAGTACAAAGATAAGGGCTAATCAGGGAATAGGGAGGGAGTGGCTCAGGGACACAGGAACAGACATAGGAACAGGGGAAGAGGCCAATAGGGTCTACTTGGCTTTTTGAGGGAAGATCCTTGTGTTTCCCCAACCCAGGGGATGCCCCCCAGGGTCTCCACACTGCAGTATCTGATGCTGGCTGGCAGCAACAGCGGGATGGGCCATCTGCCTGCCAGCATCTTCAAGAACCTGAGCCAACTGCGCAGCCTGAACCTGGAAAGTGCAGGACTGCACAGCCTTGGCCCTGAGGTCTTCCACAACCTGGCACAACTGAAGAAGCTGCGCCTGGCCAAGAACGAGCTGCGTACATTGGATGTGACTCTGGCCGTGGATTTGCTGCTTTTAAATGTTTTACTTTCCATAAGTTGTCTGGGCTGTGTTACGCAAGAGGTCAGTGTTTCACCTTTTATAAATAGATTATGATGATGCTACTTATTAATCTCCCTTGCAGCACATCTGCAAGGCAGATACTTTGCTCTCAAGACTTTAACTTGTGCAAAATTTACCCTTCCCTTGCTCATAATTTTCCTTTGCTGGGCTATTCCCAGTGAACATCACCAAATCCCACAAGACCAGTCTTTACTGCACCAAAATAAAATTAACTGTGAATGTTATTTTTCTCAAGGATTTTAAGGTTTATAAATCCCCTGTTCTGAAGTGATATCAGGTGTAGCAGGCAAGACCTAAAGGGTTTAGAGATAAAAGCATCATTTTTCATATGTTTTAATGAAAAATAAAATATGTTCACTCAGACATGGCAGGCTCTCCCTGCTGCTGCAGGGTTTGGGGAGGGAATTTGGGGACATCCAGCAGGACCTGACACCTAATTTCTCCTTCAGTGAGGATTCTAAAATGGCAAAGGAAAAGTATCTGGAAACTTTAGAAGCTGAGAAAAACTACCCAAATAGTGGCTGCTGAGGCTCTTGCCTGTGTTTTGGGAGGGACCTTGGGGACATGGGCGTACACGAAGGGGAGACATGGGGACAAGGGGTGGCAATGAGGGTACTGTGTTCATGGGGAGGGGCAGTGTTAGAAATGATGCAACTCCTAAAATTTTTAACTAACTTTAGTCAGGGGTTTTGTTCACTTTTGCCGAGAGGCAAGGGAATGGATTGTTCCCCGGGCAAGGCCTGACTAGCTTGACATCTCAATAGACTGGGTGTTGCCAGAGGATGCTCAAGAGAGAAGTGACCATCAACACCCAAACTTCCTTCCTGGTGAGTCAGAGACACTTGGTCTGAGAAAAGATCAATAAGAGAATGAAGAATGAGGACCTAATTAGCATTGAAGGCAAAGGGATCAATAACCAATAGGAAACCAGATACAAAGAATGGTGTAACTTGTGGCCAATGAATGTTGAACCAATGAATTTTTCTGGGATTTGACTATGTAAGTATGTGAAAAATCTAGTAAAGAACCATGTGTGATGGAATGGTTTTCTCTCCACAACACAGGCAATATGTGGATGAAATTATCTCTGTTGCACATTCTGGCCAGAACAACATCCTGGCCAGAATAAAGTAATGCCTTAATTCTCTTAAAGTAGAAACATTGTTGTTCTTTTAAAGTAGAAACATTGTTTTTCCCATGGTTACAGTGACAGCAGGACAGTGCCTCTATGTCCCTCCATATCCCTTCACATCACATGTGTGTCCTTTTCTCCCAGATTGATTTTATGGACAGCTGCAACCCTCAACTGATGCCCACTGGCCACAGGGAGGCACTAGGAGCTACTGGGAGAATGCTGGGAGCAACTGGGATCACAACTGGGGTAACTAGGATCATACAGGGAACAGCTGGATGTCACATTCACATTTTCTGAAAAATCCCTTTGCCCAGGATTTTTCTCCTGGGAAGCTGAGAAGCCGCAGAGAAAAATGGAAACAATAATTATCTCATTTGCTTCTCCTCTGTTTTGCTCATGTGGAATGTATTTGGATATTGTTTATCCAGCAGATGATTGTTCCATTGGTTTGTGGTGTGAGTGTTTTGATTCAATGGCCAATCAGTGCCAAGCTGTGTCGAGACTCTGGAGAGAGTCACAAATTTTCATTATTATCTTTTTAGCCTTCTGTAAGTATCCTTTCTGTATTCTTTAGTATAGTATAGTATAGCATTCTTTAATATAATATAGTATCATAAAATAATAAATTGGCCTTCTGAAACATGGAGTCATCCTTCCTGCCACAGGGACCCTGCAAATACAATAACAGGAACCATGCTGGAGAGTGACAGGGAGAAATGGGAATCATACTGGGGATAAAATAGGAGCAACTGGGACCATGCTGGGATCATAGTGTGTTGGGAAGGATTAAAGTTTGACAAGAAAGTCTCACAGATATGTATGTTTAGCAGAAAGATTTTCAAATGTAGAATCTGAAGAAGGAATAGAGATGAAAGCAAGTTTTAAGATAGAAGTAAAGAATTGCTGAGCCAGTCTTACTGGATAATCAAGGAGGCAAAGGGTTAGTTAGAAGGGTTTTTTTTATGACTTAGAGCAAAGGATAAACCCACTTCAAACAAGAAGATGTTTTTACTAAGCAGAAAGATAGCACAGGCAAAGGGGCGTGCCGATGTTGCAAGTAGAAAAAAGGTCTCAGAATTTTCCACTGCAAGAAAACTGAGAAACTTCTAGCTTAAATTGTAATGTACTAACTTTTAGTGATGGAGAATAGTAACATGAATATGGTAATTATAGCAGTTATGACAGGCTATAGATAAAAGTTAAGGTATATATTGGTTCTACTGTATTAAGATGCTCAGCAAAGAAAAGTATAGAATGCATTTGTAACCAAAACTAAGGGTCTCCAGGCCTGCCTGCAGCTGGAGCTGTAGGCACAGGCTCTGTCGCCAGCGACCCTGGCTTGCTGTAAGGTCTTGGATGTAATAAACTGCATTTTGGAGAACTGCCTGGAGTCTTGCATTCCTCATTTTGGCTCTTAGAATAGTGGGAGTGACTAGGATCATACAGGGAATTACTGGAACTGTACTGTAGGTGACTGGGAGCCACTGAGACCAGGGCCAGAAGGATCCAGCAAACTCCAGGCCTTGGTGCTGGAACAGCCCTGGAACAGATTCCCTGGGGGAACCCACATCACGGACAGGAAAACCAGGGCATTGGGAACAGCCAGGGCTTAGAAAAGGCCGGTACTGCCTGACTCACCTGATCTCCATCTGTGCCCAGGTGGCCCCGGTGGGTGTTAGACATGTGTGGGTGTGTCTGCCTGCAGCTCAGCAAAGCCTTTGGCACTTCCTCCATCTCCCTGCCTCTCTTGGAGCACCTGTAGCTTGTGGCTGGGACAGGTGCCTCTCACTGGGAACACCTGGCTGGTCGCCAGGCCAAGGAGGAGTGGGAATGGGGCCACAGCCAGCTGGGGCTGGGCACTGCTGGGGTTCCCCAGTTTCGGGGTCTCTAGGTGGTCAGAGTGACCCCGAGAAATGTTAGAAAATCTCTTTTCCCAGACCAGCGGTCGAAGAAGGAGTCAGCTCTTCAGTTCTCGGTCTCAAGGTTGTTTATTGTATCTTATCTATAAAATTTTTCCTCCTGTCCAGCCGAGGTCCACTCAGCAAGACAGTCCAAGGCACTCTGCCCCTGGGGCAGTGTTATGTCTTTATAATAAAAACTACATGTACAATATTTACAATTACTTTCCAATACCTATCACCTATGTTACACAGTGAGCTTCTACTCTAAACCAATCTAAAAGTGCCAACATCACAGCAGAAGATAGAGGCCAAGAAGAAGGAGAAAGGCTGGACACACCCAGATTCCTCCATCTTGCCCCCTGAACCCCCATTCTAAAAACCCCAAAAATCTATTTTTTACCCCGTGATTAATTCAATATCATTCTACTTAAACTGTCATGGCTTGCAGATCTTCATATAAGGTTGGTAACTTGCTCCATGGGTCATAAGCGAAACCGCAGGCATCTCTGGCTCCGTGCCAGGGTCTCTGAGCCCCCTGGCAGGGGTCTTGGCTGTCCAGGACAGCCAGAGGGATGTCCTGAGTTCCGACACCCCAGGGCGCAGTGTTGGGGCCGGTCCTGTTCAACATCTGGCCTAGGTGGACAACTAGGGACAACTGAGAGGCTTGATGGGGTCAAATAAGGAGTGTGGTGGCCCACTGGAAAAACTGGGGGTTAACTGGATGGTCTGTGAGGCAATGCCCTCAAGAGACCCCAAAGCCCACCTGGGCCACCATGGGTTCACTAACACCCCAATCTGCTTCTCCCAATGGATTTTATGGACAGTTATAATCCTTGACTGACCCCCACTGGGCACTGGGAGGCACAGGGAGCTACTGGGACCATGTTGGGAGTCAACTGAAGACACACTGGGAGCAAATGAAAGATGCTGGAACCATGTTGGGGGTACTGAGTCCACAACTGGGGCAATGTGAAAGACGGTCTGAGTTCCCCTCATTTGCCTCACGACCATTGCAAGGACAGAGACCGGGATCCTGAGGACCCTGATCAGAATTCTGGCCTGCTTGAGGTAGATGCATGCCAAGATCCTGAGGCCCCTGTGCAGAGTTCTGGCCTGCCAAGTGATTGTTTGCAGGTGTATTTGCTGCCATGGTACACTGCTTATAGCAGGGCCTGGCTAAGGGGGCAACGTGCCCTATATGCTTACACCTGCTTTGTGACAATAGCCCAAGAATTTTCCCACCTCTTGGCCAGATGAACTTGCTGGGGCAACTTTGGTGGTCCCCCCACGGAAAATCCTTCATCTGCTTCACTACCAGCATGACGAACGAAGATTGAAGCCCCCTCCCAAGGACTCAGACTGAGACCCGTACAATTCTGACACAGGGGTGCTGACCAGACTGAAGTGAGCCAAGTGTTGCCTGCAGATGTGTTCACTGGACCAAGAAAACAATGGGTCCCGCTCACTGCTGAGAACATGGACTATCTGTCCCTGTTCCCCTCCTTGATGGCTTCAATACCCTTATTCTTCATTGTATCTGTTCCCCCTCAGCAATTTCAAGAGACTTATTCTTTATTACCTGCTCCCCCCTCATGCAAAGGACTATAATAGACCCCTGAGTTAACCAGGACTTTGAGATCTCCCCAACATTACTAGGCAAACTCCATTGACTGGACCATGAGGATTTTGTCTCTACTTTTGGTAGCTATACTCCCCCTCTCTCTCTCTTTCTCTATTCTTTTCATTTTCCCTAATTCCTTTAACGCATTTGCTGTGGTCATTCAATAAAAGGTGCATTTGTTTTGATTGATACTGCAATCTGTGGAAGGGGCTAACAGCGGGCCTGTTAGCTAAAGGAGCGAGAAGAAGCTGAGAAGTAAGAAGAAACTGATAAGGAGCTCTCTCCAAGGCTGTAACCAAGGAGACCGAGAGAAGAAAGATAGAAGAACTTTGCAGCTGGATGAAACATTTTTAGAAAGTTAATTAAGTCACCATAACTTCTCACCAATAGTATTATGTTGATTTATTGTGGCCAATAGTAAAGATAGAAGAAGGATAAACAATTGGAAAGTGTATAAAAATCAGCCATATTCAATAATAAAGTGTTGCCAACTGAGACTGCTTGTGGTCTCTGCTTTATGTCGTGACCGCCTCGACAGCGACATTTGGTGATCCCTGACGTGATAAGAAGTCGGTGGGGGCCCATACGAGGTCCTAGCAACTGGCAACCGTGACCCACTGGGACGTAGTGGGGGAGGCGGCGTTGGTGCAGCTGAGAGTGGCAGGTGGAAGCCACAGGGAGGTCCGGACCTGATTTTCTCCTATCAAGACACCTGGAAGAAGGTGAGCCACCAACTAGTAATAATGGGACATAACTTAACTAAAGAGGAAGAAAATGTTCTGGCTACATGGAAAGTTTTGTTAAGAAATAAGGGAATTAATACGTCAGACTATGCCCTTCGAAATATACTGCTGTGGGCTAAATCACAGAATTTTGGCACTGATCCCCACACAGCTTTTAGTGTTAAGGCATGGAAAAAAGTCGGGGACAGACTGTGGGAAGTCATCCGAAAGGGAGATAAAATGGTTGTCGATCTAGCAGTTACTTGGGAATCGCTCTTTGAGGCATTAAAGGAATGGAAAACAGAGCGAGAACAAGCAGAGCGGGATGCGGACGAAGAGTTGGGGCTGATAACAGAACCTGATGGGGGGGATGAGGCAGAGGGGGCCTCTGATGGGGAACTTGAAGAAAGTCCGGGTGCCATACAAGTTACCTGGCAAGCTGCCAAAGCTGCCGGGAAAGCTGCCAGAGCTTCTGGGAAAGCTGCCAAGGCTTCTGGGAAAGCTGCCAAAACTTCTGGGCAACCTGCCGTAGCATCCTCTTATCAGACCCCTAAACCTCTCTATCTCACACCTGCACAGCAGCTTGCAAGGGTGCCTGTATATACTACACCGCTACGCCAGTTAGCTGAAATGTCTTTAGCAGAGACAAACCCAGCCATCTGCCCCCCCGCTTCCCTCCGCTCTAGTCCAGCCGTCCGCCCCCCCGCTCCCATCTGAGCGGCTTGAACAACCTGCAAGGCCGTATCCTCCGTTACCTGACAGTGACAGCAGCAGCGAAGCAAGTGATGAGTCGCCTGCAGTAACACCTGAGTTGGGGCAAGGAGCTCTGGCCTCTTTACCTCCAAAGAGCTCTAGCCTTGCTGCCCCATGGACTTTGCCTCCATGTCAAGTAACTGTGCTTCCTCGACACCCTCAGGAGTTTTGGGAATTTGTTAGGAGGAAAGCAGTTGAAGAAAAGAAGTGGGACACCATAGAAAGGTTAGGTGCTCCAAGAGTACCTCAGGAGAACAGTGCCAATGCAAATGTTGCTTGTGATAACCCTATGGCTTTTCCAGTCTTTAAAGCAGCTCCTGGAGCAGGGCAGGATGACAGTCATCACATCTTTGCCTGGAGGGTTGTGCAAGACCTCCAATCGAAAGTGGCTCAGTACGGTATTAATTCCTCAGAGGTAATGCAATTAATACGTGTGATTAATGCAGATTTGCTTTCACCTTATGATATCGCGCATCTTGCTACAATTCTATTTCAGCCAGTACAATACGGTGTATTTCAAGAAACTTGGAGGCGAGCGGCTGAACGCACTGCTTTAACAAACATGCAGTTGCCTCAACACGACCCTCGTCATGCTGTGGGTGTTGATGCCCTACTGGGCACTGGGCCTTTTGCTAATCCAGATTTACAGGCAAGGTGGGATCCTTCGATTTTGGCACAAGCTCAACAAATTGGCATGAGTGCCTTAACTAAAACAATGGAAATGGCAGCTCCAAAACAGAAATATGTCACTATACAGCAAGGGACGAGAGAACCATTTTTGCAATTTGCAGAAAAACTTGCTGCAGCTATTGAGAAACAGGTAGAAGATGAAACCTTGCGAGACAAATTGTGTGTACAATTGGCTAAAGAAAATGCAAACCCAGATTGCAGAAAGATTATTGATACTTTACCTGGGGAACCCACCTTGTCTGAAATGGTTACTGCTTGCTCAAAAGTTGGTTCAGTCGAGCATAAAATGGCAGCTCTTGCTGCAGTGCTAAGACCTTCAGCAAAATGTTATAATTGTGGACAACAAGGGCATGTAAGATCACAGTGTACCACAGTGTCAAATGTTGTCCGGAAAACAACATTTAAGCCAAGTGCAAGCAATGATGTTGTGTGCAATCGCTGTGCTAAACTTGGGCACTATGCTAAACAGTGCAGGAGTAAATATCACGCAAATGGTCAGCTATTGCAGGGAAACCCAAAGAGGAGCGCGAAGGGGCACGTGGGGAAACAAATACCCCAACAACAACAACTACCACAACAGCAAATGCGGGCCTTTCCAGCACTGCAAAGCTACCCATTTGCGAGCAATACTCAGGGGCAACAAGCGGGTCCGCAGGGATTGATATACCCACCGCTGACACAGTAACCATTTTGA